AACTTCCAGAATCTTTACATGCCAGACTGCAAACGAGAAGTTCTGTATTGTTTTTCTGTTCCCTAATTCTTTTATCACCACTCTAATCTTTATTATTTCCTTGCTTCTGCTAGCTTTGGGTTTAGCTCGCTTTTCTTTTTCTAGTTCCTTAAAGTGGACGGTTAGGTTTTGATTTGAGATCTTTCTTCTTTTTTAATGTAGTCATACACAGCTATAAATTTCCCTCTTAGCACTGCCTTCAGTGCCTCTCATAAATTTTGATATGTTGTATTTTTGTTATCATTTGTCTCAAAGTATTTTTTAGTTTTCCTTGTGGTTTCTTCTTTGACCTGTTGGCTGTTTGAGTGTGTTTAATTTCCAGGTGTTTGTGAATTTTCTAGTTTTCCTTTTATTATTGAGTCACAGTTTCATTCCATTGTGATTGAGAAAGATACTTTGTATGATTTCAGTCTTTTTAAATTTGAGACTTGTTTTTTGGCCTAACATTATGGTCTGTCCTGGAGAATGTTCCATGTGTACTTGAGAAGAATGTGTATTCTGCTGTTGTTGAGTGGAGTGTTCTGTATATGTCTGTTAGATCTAATTGGTGTATGTCTTGTTCAAGTCCTCTGTTTCCTTTTTGTCTGGTTGTTGTATCCATTATTATTATTATTTTTTTAAATGTTCTTTTATTTTTTTCCTCCCCAAAGCCCCAGTACATAATTGTATATTCTAGTTGTAGGGTCCTTCTAGTTCTTCTGTGTGAGCCACCGCCACGGCATGGCTACTGACAGGCGCACGTTGTGGTTCTATGCCCAGGAACCGAACCCAGGCTGTTGAAGTGGAGCACACTGAACTTTAACCACTAGACCAACCATCAGGGCTGGCTCTGTTCTATCCATTATTGATTGTAGGGTACCAGTTTGTTCAGAGATCATCATAACTTTGATACCAAAGCATATTTTAGGAAAGGAAAATTACAGAGACGTATCATTCATGAAGACTGACACAGAAGTATCTGCATACAATACAAAACAATAGCAAGCTGAATGTAGCTATCTTTAAGAAGGATAATACATTAATAACAAGTTGCCTTTTCTAGGAATGCAAGGTGATTTAACATTTGAAAATCAACCAGCATAATTCACTATAGTAGCAAAGTAAAGGAGAAAAATCACATTACCATCTCCATATATAAAGGAAAATTATTACATATATAAAGGAAAATTATTGATAAAGTTAAAAAAGTAGTCACAATAAAACTTAGCAAACTATAGGTGGAAATTTCCTTAATTTGATAAAGGGTATCTATAAAAAATCTACAGAAAACTTTATTAATGGTAATAATGGTACATGCTTTCTTTTTAATATGGAGCAAGACAAACATGCTGGCTGAAATGATTTCTGTTTGATATTGTACTGGAGATTCTAGCCAATACAGTAAGGTAAGGAAAACAATTAAAATGTATAAGAATTAAGAAGCAAGGGGGAAAAAGTCATTATTTGCAGAGGAATAAAATAATTTACAGATAAATTATTAGAATTAGTGAATAACTTTATAGCAAAATTATTAGATACAGTAGGTTTTTTTTTAATACTGACCTTGTATTTCTATAATAAGCAACAAACAAAAATAGAATGTTCTATAAGCAAGAAATCAAAATGGAAACTGAAAGATGTTATTTACAATAATACAAAAAACATCAAATGGCTAGGAATAAATGTAACAAAACTTTGCAAAGAAACTTCAAACCATTGTTGATATAAGTTAAGATGAAGGAATATACCTTGTTTATGTAATGGAAGACTTACTGTTGTATTCTCCCCAAATAGATCTGTAGATTTACTGCAATCCAAGTTAAATACCAAAAAAATTTTAGGTAGAAATTGACAAGCTGATTCTAAAATATATGTGGAAATATAAAGGAGCAAGGATAGCCAGACACAGCTAAAGAATTAGACAAAATGAGAAGAATTGCTGTACTAGATATCAAACTTAAGAGAGTGTGGTGCTACTTTAAGGAAAAACAGATCCATTTTTAGAGACACTTTATATATAACATTTATACACTTGATCTTAGCCAAAAGGCTGAGAAGCGATTATACATAACATTTATAAATGTTGTATGTTTATACCAACATTTACAAGGTGGCAATTTACGGTGGTGAGGAAGGTGCTGGGTCAATTGTATATGTATCTTCAAACAAATAAAACCTGACCCCTACCTAATACTATACACAGAGATTAATTCAAGGTGGATATTAGCTCTAAATATGAAAGGCTTCTAGAAAATAATATAGTGTAATTTATGACCTCTAGGGGTAGGGAAAAATTTGTTTAAAAATATAGAAAAAGCACGAACTTTTTAAAGGAAAAATATTGATGAATCAGACTACCTTAAAATGGAAAATTCTATTCATCAAATGATACCATCAAGAAAGTGAGAAGATATTTGTAATACAAGTAATTGCCACAGCATTGCTATCTAGAATATAGACTCAATAAAAAATTGGAAGAAACTTAGGCATTTCCCAAAAGAAGAAATCTAAATGGCTAATAAATACGAAGGTTCTCAACTTCATTAATAATCAGAAAATGCAAATTAAAATCACAAAGGATACATGACATACCTTTCAAAATGGTTAAAATGAAAAAAGACTGAAAATACAAATGTGTTGGTTAGACTGTTGGAGCAGAAGGATTTCTCATACAATACTGGGAGAGTAAATTGGTTCGACCACTTTGGAAAACACTTTGGCTGTATGTTTTATAGAAATCCATGTAAGTATGTACTAAGAGACATACAAAAATATTCATATAATCAAAAATATTCGTATAATCATGGCAGTATTATCTGTAGTCTTCTAAAACTGCAAACTACCCAAGATGCCTACTACTAGAAGCATTAGAATAGATAAATTGTGGCATACTTATATGATGGAATACTATACAGCAGTGAAAAGAAATAAACTACTGTTACATGCAACAGTGTGCATGAATCTCATAAGCAGTGTTGCAAGAGAAGCCCCACACAGAAAAGCATTCATACTGCATAATTCCACCAATATAGTGTTAAAACACAGGCAATATTAAACTGTAGTGTTGTAATTCATTATAGTGATTACCTTTCTAAAGTACAACAGAGTAGTGATTAGAAGAGGGAGGAGTTTTTACACAGAATGTGGGACTTTCCCTCTCTGGCTGTCTTTTTTCCAGGATTCCTCTCACTTTCCAGTGGTTGTGATTGCCACATTGCATTTAGTTGTCATGTCTCCATAGTCTCCTCCATTGTGTGACAGTTCCTCATTCTTTCCTTGTCTTTCATGGCCTTGACACTTATGAAGCACATATTACATATCACTTACTTTGTAGAATGTTACTCAGTTTGAGCTTGGTTTTCTCACGATCAGCTTAAGTTTATGCAGATTGCCAAGAATGTCATAGAAATGATGTGCTTTTCTTGTTCTATGATATCAAGGGTGTATGATATTGATGTTTTAGGACTGGCGATGTTAACTTTGATCAGTTAGCTAAGGAGGTGTCTGCCAGGTTTCTTCACTGTAATGTTACTGTTTTCCTCTTTGCAATTAATAAGAATCTTGAGGGGAGAACCTTTGATATTATGCAAATATTATAGTCATCATAGTCATTTTAGCATCGACCCACGATTCTTGCCTGCAGTGTTTACTTCTGTGCTGTTTGTCTAATGGTGATTTTCTACTTCTGTCATTTTTCTCTACATTTATTAATTGGTTTTCTACTCTAAGGAAGATATGTCTCCTCTTCTCTGTTAATTATTTATAACAGTATGGATTCATGGATATTTAATTAAATCTATGGGTTATAATCTCTTACTCTCATTATTTGTTTTATTGCTCAAATTGTTTCAAATGTCACCATTGGGAGATCCTTCTAGTTGACTCCTATGTCCTTTCAAAATGCCCTCATCGTTTTTGGAGCATTTCCTTACTTTCTGGTATCACAAGATATTCAGTGCTCTTACTGTATTTTCCCTACCTGAGAATTGGGATCAATCATTTCTTTATGGATCTCTTGTTCTTTTTTAGTGTAGGATAACATTTAGAAATCAAGACTTGGACACTGAATTTTCTTATTACTACTGAGTGTCCTTACTTCTAGTCCCTGTTAATTCACAGAGCTAGGAAATATATGTATATTAATACGTATATGCATATACATCTATTCCTTTTTCTGTATCTCTCTGTCTATTTGTCTGTCTGTAATCATGACCTCATTCTGAGACCTCTGATTCCAGCTCCACAAGATTGGAATGAACACCACAAGGTTCATTCTCGTCTTCCCCTTTTCTTATTTTTACTTTTCTCCCACAGTGAGAAACCTGGCTCTCATTATCCACAATAGATTTATTTATTTAATCTTAGTGTACACATACAATAATTACAGAATTGCTAACCCATACCTTTGTGACTGTATAATTTATCATCTAAATTAGGATACTTCTGAGAGAGAAAAGAAGCATTATTAATTACTATTCAGGGATAACAGGTGTAAACATAGACTGTTTTAGGGAAACTGAGAAGTATATCTCTACATGTTATACATGTACGTGTTATACTAATTTATTATCATTATAACTTATTTTTGTCCTTTCCCTTTTCTGGCTTCATAAATTTTCTTTTGAATGATCTAGAAATCACTCTTGAAAACTTAATGTGTTGAAGGCTGTTAAAATGGTGAACATTTAGTGGTTTATATACTTAGTGGAAAACATTTTTTGTAGTCAGAATAGACTGCTTTGGTGAAAATACTGAGTTACATTAAAATTCCGTCAGAGTCAGATGGAACAGAACAGCATTGCTATTCCCTGTTTTGTTTGGGTCACTCCTATGGGTTAGAATTGGAATTTCTCAGGTTTCCCTTGTGAAGATTTTATTAGATTTAGTGCTTCAGGATTGTAAGTCTTAAAGAAGAATGTCAACCAAAAAAAACCACTCATTTGAGGTACTTGTCTGGGGGTTAATAGCATTTCCTTGTTCAGGTGGACACACGTTTACAAAATGGATTTGCTCCTGGGATGAAACTGGAGGTGGTTGTGAAAACAGATCCTGAAACCTACTGGGTTGCCACCATCATTACCACCTGTGAGCAGTTGCTCCTTCTCCGCTACGACGGCTATGGGGAGGACCGGAGAGCGGACTTCTGGTGTGACATCAGGAAGGCTGACCTCTACCCTATTGGGTGGTGTGAGCAGAATAAGAAAACCCTCGAAGCCCCAGAAGGTAATAAATTACTTCCTGTCAAGACATGATATGGTATTGGTATAGGAAGATTTGGGCTGTCCACAGCCTTAAGGTTTTCAGTCTCCCAAGCACATATGTTTTCCTAACTTCTGGGTTAGCATTTTGAGTGAAAATATTTATAAAGAACAAATGTGTGTTTCCCTGTCTTTTAAACTATTTTCTGTGCTCAGTAAGCCTCAGATTTTTATGATACTCACAGCAAGCATCCTGTATGACTTATCCTGTATGACTGTTGAGGCTCTCTGAGTTTGAGATTTGTAGGTCTGGTTGTATTTTAAGTACATTGGGCCAGAATGATTCTCTTTCTGATTTTGTTGTCCTCCCTTCTCTCACCCAGAAGTGATCTGGGAACTGTGAACTCTTAAAATGAACCAACTGAAACTCCCTTCAAGGAAAGAGCCGCACTGAGAGTAGAATCCACATTAAGCAGGACAGAGACGGTAGGACAAAAGAAAGAGAAGGGTCATATAAAGGTGGAGAAAGGGAAGAGAGGCTGCAGATTTAAGAAAATACTAGACCTTACATGTTTTTCTTTCAATTCTTATTTTGATATAATTTCAGATTTACGGGAAAGTTGCAAAAATAGTATAGAAAATTCTTGGAGACTTTTTGCCAAGTTTCCCCAAATGTTGACATTTTACCACATTTATTTTATCTTCCTCCCTCCCTCTCCCTCTCCCTCTCACACACACACTTTTTTTTTTGGTAAGGAAGATTCATCCTGACCTAACATCCATTGGTAATCTTCCTCTTTTTTTTTCTTTTTTTTGTTTGAGGAAGATTAGCCCTGAGCTAACATTTGTGCCAGTCTTCCTTTGTATGTAGAATGCCTTCACAGCATGGCTGATGAGTGGAGTAGGTCCCCGCCTGGGATCCAAACCCGCGAACCTGGGCCACTGAAGCAGAGTGCGTGGAACCCCAACCACTCGGCCACGGGGCCGGCTCCCACACATTCTTTTTTTTTTTTTTTTTTTGTGAGGAAGACCAGCCCTGAGCTAACATCCGATGCCAATCCTCCTCTTTTCTGCTGAGGAAGACTGGCCCTGGGCTAACATCCATGCCCATCTTCCTCTACTTTATATGGGATGCCCCCACAGCATGGCTTAACAAGCGGTGCGTCAGTGCGCGCCCAGGATCTGGACCAGCGGACCCTGGGCCGCTGCAGCAGAGCGCACGCACTTAACCGCTTGCACCACCAGGCTGGCCCCACATGCATGCTTTTTTTTTATGTTTATATATTTATTTATGTTCATATATATAAATTTTTTTTATTGATGTTTTAATAGTTTTTAACATTGTGAAATTTTGGGTTGTACATTTTTGTTTGTCCATCACCATATATATGTCTCCCTTCACCCCTTGTGCCTACCCCCCCACCCCCATTGCCCCTGGTAACCACAATACAGTTTTCTCTGTCCATGTGTTGGTTTATATTCCACATATGAGTGAGATCATACAGTGTTTGTCTTTCTCCTTCTGGCTTACTTCACTTAACATAATACCCTCCAGGCCCATCCATGTTGTTGCAAATGGGACGATTTTGTCTTTTTTTATGGCTGAGTAGTATTCCATTGTATATATATACCACATTTTCTTGATCCAGTTGTCAGTTGAGGGACACTTAGGTTGCTTCCACTTCTTGGCTGTGGTGAGTAATGCTGCAGTGAACATAGGGGTGCATAAGCCTCTTTGGACTGTTGATTTCAGGTTTGTTGGATAGATTCCCAGTAGTGTGATGGCTGGATCATAGGGCATCTCTATTTTTAATTCTTTGAGGAATCTCCATACCGTTTTCCATAGAGGCTGCACCAGTTTGCATTCCCACCAGCTGTGTATGAGGGTTCCTGTTTCTCCACATCCTCTCCAACATTTGTTGTTTTTTGTCTTGGTGATTATAGCCATTCTAACGGGCGTGAGGTGATATCTTAGTGTTGTTTTGATTTGCATTTCCCTGACGATTAATGATGTTGAACATCTTTTCATCTGCCTATTGGCCATCTGTATGTCTTCTTTGGAGAAGCCACACACATGCTTTTTTGATGAACCATTTGAGAGTCAGTTGTAGACATGAGGCCCTTTTACTCATAAATACGTAAATGTACTTCTGAATACAAGGACATTCATGAGCACGGTAAAATAACAAAATCAGGAAATTAACTTTGATACAGTACTGTTATTTAATCTATAGACCTTATTCAGTTTTTATTAATAATTTTTTTTTAATTTTATTTATTTATTTATTTATTTTTCCCCCAAAGCCCCAGTAGATAGTTGTATGTCATAGCTGCACATCTTTCTAGTTGCTGTATGTGGGACGCTGCCTCAGCATAGTTGGAGAAGCGGTGCATCGGTGCGCACCCGGGATCCGAACCCGGGCCGCCAGCAGCGGAGCGCACGCACCTAACCGCTGAGCCATGAGGCGGGCCCATAATGTTTTTATAGTAAAAGAAAATCCCAGATCATGTGTTGCATTTAGTTGTCGTGTCTCATAAGATTCCTTTAATCTGGAACAATTCCTCAGGCTTTCTTTGTCTTTCATGACTTTGACGTTTTTGAAAGGTACAGGCCAGTTTTCCCAATAATGTTCATTATGTCCTGGGCCCGATAATGTTCTTTATGCCCCATTTCTTTTCCTGGTCCAGGAGTCATTCCAGGATCACACATTGTAGCTGGTTGTCATGTCTTTTTAGTTTCTTTAACCTTTCTTTTTTTTTCTTAGTGTTGATATTTTTGAAGAGTATAGGCCAGTTATTTTTTAGAATGTGCCACAATTTGAGTTTGTCTGATGTTTCCTTAGATTCAGATTACGCACTTTTGGTATGTAAAATGCAGAAGTGACCCTGTGTCCTTCTATTGCATCATATCAGGAGACACATGCTGTTGATTTGTCCTCTAACTGGGGATATTAACTTTCATCACTTAAGTTAGTATATGCCAAGTTTTTCCACCATAAAATTACTCTTACCGTTTTTAATTAATAAGTATCTTGTGGGAAGATACTTTGAGATTATGTAAGTATTTCATTACTGTTCAGACTGTCACCTATTATTTTTAGCATCCATTGATAATTTTTATCTGAAACAGTTATTACTCTAATGATTACTAAATGGTATTTTCTAATTCCTTCTACATTTCATAATTGACTTTCTGCTACAGAAAGAGCGTTCCCTTTCCCCCATTTACACACATACATTTATATATATATGTGTAGGTTTATGTATGTATGTCAGTGTAGACTCATGTTTCTTATTTTATTCAATGGGTTATAATCCTTTACTATCGTTATTTATTTTGATGCTCACATTGTCCTAGATTTGGCCAGTGGGCACTCCTTCAAGCTGGTTACTGTGTCCTTTGTTATGTTCCCATCATTCTTTGAATATTTTCTTTTTTTTTTGGCTCAAGAAGTTTTTCCTTGCCTCAGCCCTGAAACCAGCCATTTCTCCAGGAAGTCCTGGTTTTTTTTGGTGAAGAATCATGTTTAAAAATGAAGATCTGGGTATTAGGGTCTTGGGGTGTCTGTGGGCTTCCAGCTGGCTATTAACATTTTGCGAAAAAAATGTAAGAGGAAGCCCTGGAGACATGAAACTACCTGGCACTATCTCATCTTAAGAGTATAGGAAAATTCATCTCATTTAAACATGAACAACAGAAAATGATTCCAGTTGAGTCTTGTACAAGATTATTATAACCAAAAAAGAGAAAAAAAACGTAGAACAAAATCCTTCTAGGCCAACATAACTACAAAAGAGATGAACACAGCATCAGACGAAAACATTTCAAAACAAGCTAAAAGAAAGTAGCAACAATGATAGAAGCAGTGAGAAAAAGTGTAAATAAAATTTATAAAAATTCATAAATGAGATGATTAGAGAAAAAGAAGATTTGAAAAGAGAAAAAGTAGAAGTTAGGCAAGAACTGGAAATAAAAAAATACTAGAAAATAAGACTAAGTTAAAATGAACACAGGAATGCATCAACCGTGGATAATATCTGAAGAGAAGTAAAAGATGAAAAAGAGGAAAATTTTAAACTACAAAAAGAAATGAAGAAAGAAATAAAAAGGACTTGGAAAAATAGTGTAGATAGGCAAAAATGATTTAAGATACGTAAAGTAGAAGTCCCTGAAGAAGATAACCAAAGCAATGAAACAATAAAATGCTATAAACTATGATTCACGAAAACTTTACTGAAATAAAATAGGACTTGAAATACATGTTGAAAGGGCTCGCTATGTGTATGGGAAAATCAAACGAACAGAACAGCTACATCAAGATGTAGTCTAATGAAGCTATTGAACTTTAAAGCAAAAAATAATCCCTTGGTTGTTACGTATTGTTGTTAGGCAAAAATCTAAGTTTCTTGAAAAGGAGGGAAAACAAGATTGTCGTCAGCCTAATTGACAACAACGCTTTATGCCAAAAGACAATAGGGTAACATATTTAAGAAATTCAATGGAAGAAAATATGAGGCAAGAATTTTATGTCTCGCCAAACTGAACTTCAGGTGGAAAGGCCATATACAAACTGTTATGAAGATGTAAGGATTCAGGGGATATTGTCCCCATGAGCCCTTCCTAAGAAATCCACTAGACAATGAGCTTCACAAAAACGAATGAAGAAACATTAGCATAGGAACTGTTAGTGAAATATTAAATACATGTGTGTATATATATATATAGCTGTAGAACTTAGAACTAAATGGTGGTTATAAGGGAGATGGTATAGTACAAATGGCTACATGCTCTGACAGTATAAATACAGTATAACTATTTAAAAAAATGGGACAACAGTGAGGAGAGCATGTGAATAATGGCATAAGCTTACTCATTGCCTTTTTATTTTTTTAAACCAGCTTTATTGCCTAGTAATTTAGCTAATTGCCTTTTAAGTGTTAACTGGAAGTAAAAGGCTATTACCTGATATGAGATGCTCAACTCTACACTACTTTGTAGTGTGAAAGCAGCCGTAGGCAATATGTAAACAAATAGGCATGACTGTTCCAATAAAACTTTATTTACAAAAATAGACAGCAGGCCAGATTTAGCCCACAGGTTATAGTTTGCTAACAACTCCTGGTCTAGATGGAAAGATTGACCATGAAGTGACAGTTGTTGAAGCTAGGATACAAGAGGATTCATTATACTGTTTTCTCTAATTTTATATATGTTTGAAAATTTCCATGATAAGAAATAAAGTAGGTAGCTTTTGGATAAAATTATACTAACAGGGAATTGGGCCTCTTCTCTTTGTTTTGTATACAACTCTTCGTAAACTAACCAGGAAGTAGCTCTATCTAAGAGGAGGATTTTTTTTAAGCTTCCAAGAAAGCAATATGTTGGACTTAATTTAAAATGACAAATGCACCTCTAAACAATTTTCACTGGTACAGTTTCTCTGTATTCTGTTTGGTTTAGTTTCTCTGTGTTCTGTGGCTGATGTTATGAGTAATCACTCATTTATTCCCTCGTCTAGGCATCAGAGATAAAAGGTCTAATTGGGCTGAGTTTCTGCAGCAGACCCTGATGGGAGCTTGTAGTCCTCCTATTCCGCTGCTAGAGGGCGTGAGTATTATTGCTTTCAGAATCACTATGGAAAACCCTTCTAATCTTCAGTGATATTTCCAGTCTAAGGAATCTTAAAATTGTTTGCTCATTTGCCGCTCCAAGACAAATAAGCATTGCTACTACAGAGATAGGCATGGGTATCGGGAGGTTTAAACTTACCCTCAGAGGTTGCAAACTGGTGGCTTGCTCAGTGCCTAAAATGTTTTGAATTAGTTGCTGACACATAAAAATATAGTTTTCCAGATTCTTTTATGCAGTTGGAAAATGTGGCCTTTTTGGGCTCTCACTCTGAAACTGAGCAGCGGTTGACTCTACTTCAGGATGGGCTTTTGTAACTCCCACACTGGGTGACTTGAGACCCCCGTTTCTTTTGCTCAGAAGACACTGGACCTATCATACTCCTACCACCTACTGTTTTCAGCAGTCTTTTTAAATTAGTATAGCTTTTGAGCTTGGTAGTGAATATAGATTTCTTGTTTTTGTGAAATCAATTTATTGGTTATGACATTTGTAAGTTATATCTTGCCACTTTCTGTCATACCTGTAACATTCTTTATGGCATATGTGAAATGCAGTGTTTGAAGCTTCCAGTTTCTCTACATCCTTGCCAACACTTGTTATTCTCTTTTTGGTTATAGCTATCCTAGTGGGTGTGAATTGGTATTTCATTTTGACTTACATTTCCCTAATGACTAATGGTGTTGAGCATCTTTTTATGTACTTATTTGCCCTTTATGTATTTCTTTTGGAGAAATGTCTTTGCCCATTTTTAAATTGCATTGTTTGTTTTTTTATTATTGAGTTACGAGTTCCTTATAAATTCTGGTTACAAGTCCAGATCAGATATCTGATTTCCAAATATTTTCTCCAATTCTCTGGATTGTCTTTTCACTTTCTTGATGATATCTTTTGCAGAACAAAAGATTTTCATTCTGATATAGTCCAGTTTATCTATTTTTTTCTTTTGTTGCTTGTTGCTTTTGGTGTCATATCTAAAAAGGCTTTGCTTAACCAACAATCATGAAGATTTACTCCTATGTTCTCTTCTAAGCGTTTTGTAGTTTTAACTCTTACATTTAATTCTACAACCCATTCATATGTCCCTTTAAAACTTAATTAGTGAACACACTATTTCAAGCTGATCTTTATAGTTTATACTCTGACTCATTTCATTATGCTTAGCCAGGGCCTGGCACTTACTAACCACTCAGTAAAATTTGAGTGAATGAACAAATGAATTAATAAATATCCTGCTCTACATTGGCCTTGATTCTGTAGTCCTGATCTTTAGCTGTGAATGTGTTCCTCCATTTGTTCATATGTTCTTTTGCATATATATGAATATCTAAGTGTCACAGAGCAGTTCTTATTAGGGGGAAAAAATATAAGTTTGAATATTAAGAAATGGTTAAGTGGTAATATTGGAATCAGCCTTCCTTTTTATTCTTTATTGTAGCTTTTAATATATATCTAGAAAGTGAGAATTAAACTCTTCCTTTTGATCAGTGTAATTAAAACACTGTGTTCATAACATTGTTGTGAAATGAGTAAAGAATCAGAAACAACTGAGATGCCATCAGTAAATAAGTGGATAAATTACTGCCCATTTCTAATACAAAATGTCAATAAAACAGTTTAAAAGAATGAGGAAGATTTATGTGTGCTATCATAGAAAGATAGCTATGATACATTAAGTGACAAACACAAATTGAAAAACAGTATACAGTGCTCCCATTTTTTCAAAAAATACGAGAGAGAGAGACAGACACAGGTGGATGTTGACTTGTGTGTAGAAAACCCAGTCTCAAGAGTGTATGCCAGGGGCCATCCTGGTGGCATGGTGGTTAAGTTTGCATGCTCTGCTTTGGTGGCCTGGGGTTCGTGGGTTCGGATCCCGGGCACAGACCCATACACTGCACATCAAGCCATGCTGTGGCAGCATCCCACGTATAAAAAAATGGAGGAAGATTGGCACAGATGTTAGCTCAGCAACAGTCTTCCTCAAGCAAAAAAAGGAAGATTGGCAACAGATATTAGCTCAGGACCAATCTTCCTCACCCACCAAAAAAAAATAGAAAAAAAAAGAGTGTATGCCAGACTGTTTATCATGGTCCTTTGTTGGAGGTGGAATTGTGGGAGATTTTGACTTTTGTCATGTTTAATTTTTTTTCTTTAATAATAATCATATTTGCTTTTACAGAGACTAAAGCAATGATGATTTTTTAAAAAATTTTTCTAGGTGAAACTATATAGCATAGTCCTAGAGATAGAGATCGTTCAAATGGTTTCATTGCGTTATAGGTAGGTTTTCTTTAGGATTAACATTTACATATCACCTAGAGATAGTACTATAGAGACTTGTATGATATTAGGCAATTTAGCATCACTGGCTTTGAACAGGTAAAAATATAAAGGCTAGTTTGACATCATTTAAAACTTGACTTTTAAAAATATTATGTTAACTTTTGTTATGTAATCATTTCACCTTTTTTTTACCTGCAGCTTCGTAATGGGAGGAATCCTTTAGATCTCATTGCTCCGGGATCCAGGCTAGAATGTCAAGCTTTCCAGGACTCTTTAAGCACTTGGATTGTTACTGTAGAAGAGAACATCGGGGGAAGGCTGAAGCTGCGTTATGAAGGACTTGAAAGTTCTGACAGTTTTGACCATTGGTTGTATTACTTGGATCCATTTCTTCATCATGTTGGTTGGGCTGCTCAACAGGGATATGAGCTTCAGCCCCCATTAGGTGAAGAGTAATATAACATTTTTCTTTTAACTGTTACATCCTTGTTATATTATGTTTTTATTAATATCAATGAGACTGAGAAATGCATTATTCTGCATATTAAAAAATAGTTTGCATAATAGAGATATTGCAAAAAAAATATATGGAGTTAAATTAAATGCCTATTTTTCTTTTTTTTTTATTGGTTTACTAATTTGCCACACATATTGATATATCTCATAGACTTCTGCCCCAACTCATACTGATGTCTTACCAAAATTAAAGAAAAATTCTCTAGGCAGCATTCAGATAGGTGTAGGAGTAGGACAGGCCCTGAGTTCAAAGCAAATTGTTGATTACAAGAAATTCCAATAGTATTAAAACTGGAGTGTAAATCAATTTGCATTTATTATCACGTGCCCCAGTTTGAATGTTGCATTATATTATGTTGTAGACTAGAGTAATTCTTACCATCTTACTAAAGGTATTTTCACCAAACTTACTACCCAGGCACTGAACAGAAGAGACAGAGTACTGAAGTTAAGGTGTAAATCCTTTGAAAATTTTAGAAGTGGGCTTGAACCCTTTTCTCTTCCCAGTGGAAAATGACTTCTTTTTATGTTTATGTGAATGCTTTCGAACAGTTTTTTTTTTTTATTGATGTCAGAAGAGTTTTAAAGTGCGTAAGTTCTCATTATTTAAAGCATCTTGTCTTGTTTTGCTGAAGTGATCAGACATCTGAAACATGAAGCTGAGTGGCAAGAGATCTTGGCCAAAGTGAAAGAGGAGGAGGAAGAGCCATTACCATCTTACTTATTTAAGGTAAAGACAAAACATGTGATAGGTAGGTACTTATCTTCTCGCAGTGGAGCAAAGTAAAATTTGGGGGAGGTGCGAAGCGTTAAGATAACCCCATGTGTCAGGGAGAGTGCTCTGGTGTCTGAAGGAGGGAAGAGGTTTGAAGGCTGCAGTGATGATCGTCTTTTTTTCTTCCAACAGTAGTCTTGGTTTTTTCCTGAAGTACTCTTAAAGCATTTTGAGTCTTTTCTTTTCTACTCTTAACTACATAGCCCTGACTTTTTATAAAATAAGCTTGTTTTTCCTTCAGATGGCCCTTGTGTTCCGAATGTAGAGAGTTAGGAGTGCTTCCTGTGGTTTTTTTCCTGGATAGTTTTTTCCATGGAAGAAAATTGTAGGATTATATTATTTACCAGAGGCTGGACAGTTCCCTTATTTTAATTGAGTAGTATTCAGCTATATATAAGCATAAAATTAATGTGAAAATACTATATTTTTATTCCTTCTTGGTGTTTGCATTTCAGGACAAACAGGTGATCAGCACTCATTCATTCTCTGTAAATATGAAATTGGAAGCTGTGGACCCCTGGTCTCCTTTTGGGATTTCTCCAGCTACAGTTGTTAAGGTAAAATGGGGGCAGCTCTCTTGGTAAGAATTCCTGTCAGGGTGACTGGTTTAGGAAATTGGTAGTGTTTTGATCTTTAGGCTCTGCTAGTCTAACGTATTGTTTCTCCTAAGCTGTGAGGCTAGACTTAGTTCTGTACGCATTTGTAATGTCCAGTTCTCTGTGGCCTGTTCCTTTTTCAGAGCTTGGTCACCCCAGCCAACCAAAGCCTGGGCACCAGAGTTAGTGGGGTGCACATTCTTTGGGGGCAGCTCTAGCTGTACATAACTAGAAGAGATTTAATTGGCAGTTAGGTCATGGTATCTGAAGTGTGGAGGCCAACAGTGTGCAGCCAGGTGCAGGGCTTGTTGAGGTGAGGAGATATGTGGGGAGCAGGTGATGAGTGTCACAGGATCTGCTGTAAGATCGCTCCAGCCATGGATTCCAGTTTCAGACTTGAGTTATTTGGCAAACTGACAAAAGTAAGGCTCTTGTTAGGAGTAGCCATAAGAACTGGGCAGGTTTTCAAGGCTCAGTTACTCAGTACAACTGAGCCATAAGGGAGAGGATCAGTTTAGGAATAGAGCAGATGCCCATTTACTGAAAGTAGAACCAAAAGTCAAGTGGGACTAGAGAGAGAGTTGCTTGGATGCTGAATCATGTGATCTGTTGAGATTTAAATTTTCCTTACCTTGAAAGATTATTCTTAGAACAAAGAGGGATTTTGTACCTGCAGTGGGGTGAGAAGGCCCTATCTGGAGTCTGAAGGGCTGTGGGGTGGTAAGGAGCCAGAGGAGGTTCATAAAACATTTTTGGTATTTGAAACTGGGCTAGGATCTGGAAATCTAATATACAAGTGTAGTTGACTCTCACTAAGCCTAAACTAAATATTGTTTGGAGCCCAAATACTTGGATTTGAACCCAGGTTCTGCATCTTCCTGGCTGTGTAACATGGGACAAGTTATTTAACCTCTTTTCAAACTCAGTTTCCCTGTCTGCAAAATGGGGTTGATAATGGTACCCACCTCATTAAGTTGTTAGGAAGGTTAACACTGAATTAATGCATGAAAAGCATTTAATTAAAATAGTGCCTGACACAGAAGTAACATTTATTGAGTGCTTAGTATTATTGTTAATACCTACTGTGGCTATGTAACGTTTGTAACGTTTGGCTGTGCCAAGGAAATGACGTGTGTGTGTGTGTGTGTATACATACACATAAAACCATTTGTCTGTTTTATCTGTTAAATTGTATGTTCAGGTCTTCGATGAGAAGTACTTTCTAGTGGAAATGGATGATTTGCGACCAGAGAATCATGCACGACGATCTTTTGTGTGTCATGTCGACAGTCCTGGTATTTTCCCCGTGCAGTGGAGTCTGAAGAATGGTTTACACATCAGCCCCCCTCCTGGTGTGTGTTCGTTCTTTTCACAATTGTTCATTGGGAACTTTTTTTTGAAATGAGATTTATCAGATGGTATTATCTGGATCTTTTGTCCCTGTCTCTCCTCATGCCCCAGCCTGTCCTTAACCTTTATGGGTCCCAAGACAAGTATAAATGAAGGCCTAGATTCTATGTATTTACATATTTTAAATGTATAATTTAAGCTAAAAAACTAATATAAAGTATGTTCTGTCCTACATTGACAAATATATCTTCATAACAACCTGGCGTTCCACTCAGGTACCTTAGTTCATTCCATCTTATGTCTATTAGGTGGTCACAGAAGGGTAAGGGTAGGAAACACAGTGAGTGCTGGGAGCTGGCTTAAGAGAAGAGGCCTTATTAGAGTCAGAGCTAGGAGGTAGACTATTGATGATTTTTAGGTTTCTGGGCCTCATCTTGGAGGGAGACTCTTCAGACTTCAGAGGAACGTTTATGGTCAAGAGTAGGACTCAGAGAGGCTTGTAGGTAGGAAAGTAGCAGCTCATTTTTCTGGTGTTTGCAACTTTGCAAAATATAATCTTTGACCCTTTAATCAAGACTCTTAAATGTGGCTTAGTTTACGGGGCTGGCCCCGTGGCATAGCGGTTAAGTGCGCGTGCTCCGCTGCTGGTGGCCCAGGTTCTGATCCCGTGCGAGCACCGAGGCACCGCTTATCAGGCCATTCTGTGGCGGCGTCCCATATAAAGTGGAGGAAGATGGGCACAGATGTTAGCCCAGGGCCAGTCTTCCTTCGCAAAAAGAAGAGGATTAGCATGGATGTTAGCTCAGGGCTGATCTTCCTCACAAAAAAAAAAAAAATGTGGCTTAGTTGAGCTTGACTGAAATTTTTGATATTTTTTAACTTAGAGTATCTGAAAGTGTCAGATGTTTATCTGATTTTTGTATCATCAAATGAGATTATTTGATTGGCAGTCTATGTATCCTTTATTAGTAGGCTTTTGGTAAAGCTTCACTTTCTAAATGGTGGCTGCTGGAACGCTGGCCTGGAAGTGCTCTTTTATGTTAACCAAAGTCATAAATTCAGAACCTTTTGCCACCCATTCAGCCTTCATTCATCCAACAAACATTTATGGAATGTTTGCTATGAGCCAGGCTTTGGACTTGTCACTGGGGAGACAAAAGTGAGTACGACAGCTCCTTCAAGGAGTAAATAGGGGAAAACAGTAACAGCCTCCGAGGTTCTCCTCCATCTGAACGGAGAGTAAGAATGCCTGCCTGGTGGAGATGGTGGTGGGGGACACACCTAAACAAGGGAGTTCATGCTTTGCAGAAAGGCTCTGGACATCCTAAGTTCTTTATCCTGCCTGCTGACTTTATGTGAAAAGAAAAAAACAATGAAAGATATTGGAGCTTTCAACATTGTTATAGACAACACAACTGTCTGTAAATAGAAGGAAAGCAGTGGATTATGTAATTGAAAATGGCAGATAATTTACTATGAGGAATTGAGCTGGAGGCAGAGGGAGAACGTGGTGCCAGTCCGAGTTGGGCAGACGAGGTGATTGCAGGGGCTTTTTGGCTGGCATAGTCTTGAGTAGCTTACTCTGTGGGTTTGAAATATTAAGCTCTGTGGAGCAGAGAGCTGCTCAGACACAGCAGGGCAGTTGGGCCCAGTCCAACTCCTCACGCACCGACAGTGCAGTCAGGGCATCAGATTGGAGAGCCTTCTACTAAGAACCTTGGTAGACTTAAGTGGGGAGTTAAGCTCAACTTTTTTTCTGAGATGAATTCATGATTCAGGTTGTAAGGGCATTGAGATTCTGTGGAACATGAATCTGAAAACAGTGCTGAGAGTATTGTTTCAGTAGTAGCTAAGCTTGTTTAAGGAAAATAGCTTTATGGAAGAAAAAAGGTCTTCACTGATAAACAGTACTGTAGATTATTTGCTGTCTCTTTTCTCTTTAGAGCCTACGTCATAACAGAATTGATACTAAGACTGGATTTATTGGTACAAAGCAAATCCAGTCATAACTGTCTTAAATTTTCTTGGTAAATTGCTGGCAACTAATCATATAAAATATTGCTCAACAGAAATGCCTAGTTTGAAACTTGAAAGTTTTAAAATTGATCCAGAGAATTTTATTATATTGTTATAGTTTGGCCAGAGTTGCTCTGTTTTATGAAATTAACAATGCTTTGAATTTATAGGGTGTTTTCCCCCTTTTCTGAAATGATCAAGTCCTCAAATGAACAAAATGAGAAGTTGTGGTTGGACATCTGGCAGAATGGTAAAGCCAGGCAGGCAGGCATGTGCGGTGTGAATCATTTTCTTTTGTCCCTACCTAGGCTACCCGGGCCAGGACTTTGATTGGGCCGACTACCTCAAACAGTGTGGTGCTGAAGCTGCTCCCCAGAGGTGCTTCCGCCCGGTGAGAGCCCCCGTCCTCTCATGGCCACGGCTTGGGGACTGCTGTGCTTCCCGTGCTTTTATGATTTTCACTCTGAAGTCAGTCCTCTCACTCAACCCAAATAAGCAGCTTGTTGATTGTAATAAAATGACCCAAAGAAAAATTCATTTACTGCAGAGTTCATTTGTTAACTTAATTAGTTTTTAAAGTTTATCAGTTTTATTTATTTATTTATTTATTTATTTATTTATTTATGTGAGGAAGATCGGCCCTGTGCTAACATCTGCCAATCCTCCTCTTTTTTTTTTTGCTGAGGAAGACTGGCCCTGGGCTAACATCCATACCCATCTTCCTCCACTTTATATGGGACGCCGCCACAGCATGGCTTGACCAAGCGGTGCGTCAGTGCGCGCCAGGATCCAAACCGGGGGACCCCGGGCCGCTGCAGCGGAGCGCGAGCACTTAACCGCTTGCGCCACCGGGCCGGACCCATCAGTTTTATTTTTTATCAGCTGAAAACATGTGAGTTTAAAGTTTTAGTTCATAATTATTTTTAATGGTTCAATAATATGAAAAAATGTTCATATATTAAGTGTTTAAAAATACGTCATTAAAAATAATACATGCATGTGATTTACAAAGCCAAACAGCAGTAAAAAGCTTAGAACATGAAACAGTAGTTCCCTGCCCTGTCCCTTTCCATGGTCTCCCTTCCCAGAAGTAGTCACTTCCTCTTCTTCTCACTGTTATTCTGATATTTATACTTCTCATTTTCAAAATAATATGGGGCTGTCTTTTGAGTCATTAATTTTAAACATGTCTGTTGGTTCTGTGTTTTGGTAAATGAGCATTTAGCTATTTTATATTGCCTTTCTCATCTGTCTTACCCACCTCTTCTTCCTACTAGAGTTATATTATAATTTTTGGTTAAATTTGAATTGAGTGCTATCATTTGCATTCAGATATGATTCACAGCTGAACACTGCAGTATTTTGTGATTGTTTCCTTTTTTAATTTGTCCTCAAGTTAATAATTGCCTTGTTTTTCATAGCTTAATTTTGTTTCTATTACTAGTTCTTCCCACACCTTCCAGTAGCCTCTCATAAATATTTCCACAAAGGCAATCACATCAGGAAATCAGTCATTCCCCCGCCCCCCCGACCTTTATGAAACTTAGTTTATTTGGGGGATGGAGGAGTCATAAATAATATATGCAGAAGCTCCCTTATCTCACTCTGTCAGGCAGATAATTAGTGGGTTAATTGAAAGTCAGATAAATCAGTGTATCATGTTTTGATGTAATGATCTATTTTAATTTAAGATGTATAACTGTGCATTCATTTGCTAGTCTTTTGGTAAGGCTTTTCCTTTGCGTATGGATTGTCAACTAGTGTTCCCTTAAGTTTTTTCTTACATAAGCTACACTTAACATATACCCTATCATTTTCAGTAAAATGAGAACTTTGATACTTTGAAACAATATAAATGCAGAATCCTTCTCAATTTTTAATTATTTTTCCCTTTACACTTGTCTTACCCACACATGTTTTGACAGTAGTTTTTCCAGTGATTCACATTATTCTTAATAGCAGCTGTAGTTTTATGTTGGTGTGTGGTAGAGAAAGGCAGCTGTCTCACTGATCAGAGCTCGGGGGGGGGGGGGGG